CGTGACGTCACCTCTGGTACGGATGGGGCGAACGCGGGAAGTCTCATTCAGTGAGGTATGCAGTTAGCTCGATCGGGTTGTACTCGAGAACTTTTCTGTCCCGTCAGTTTTAAGATTAACGAGTATGTGTTGGATTACTGGTACAATAATATCGATATCGATAAAAAGATCTCCATTAAAGAGGAATGCAACAACAAATATTTTTCTTGAGTTTTCTTTTTTAAAGCTTTGAAGAATTTTCATGTAATTTTTATACCTACACATTTGATTGCAGCTTCCAAACGTCTCTATACGAGTCGCAGGCGCTGATCGTGGCGTTCTTCTTCTCGATGCTGTTCACCGTGGCCTCTGTGGTGCGGTTCGTCGTGGCTGACAAAGAATCTGGCAACACTATGGTAAGGACATCTTAAAACAGGCGTTACCTTTTTAGCCTTTTATCTATTACAGGTACAATTTAATTTTTTTAATGCATGCAGGAGGATTTGATGAGTGTTACTGACAACGCCACTCTTGTGGCGGAGTTTTGGGCTGACACTGTGTAGGTTTGTTGTCGACACGAAAAGAAGAAGAATGCATGCAGATGTATGTTGTGGTCTTTGCTTCAACTTTTTAATCAAAAGACGACGAAGCCGAACGAAAGCTGTCTCCAAGGATTTTCACAACGATTGGTCCTGTTCTACACTGTTCGTAGCAACACGGTAGCAATTCTAAATTTTCCCGCACTTGCGATGGCGTGCGAGCGTGGCCGGTTGTGCTGCTATATCCGTGGTCGCAATCAGACTGGTAGCTCGAAGTGTCGTCTGCTCGGGTGGGTGTCAAGATCTGCGGTTACCTTATTGCTAGTGTTGTTACTATAACCACAGAATAATAATAAGTACTACGTACAGAAGTTTTACATCGCGAAGGTATTTAAAAAAATGTATGCTCAATGTCATTAACAATATCGTGTAATTTAGCCTGTCTCAAGAGCAAGCACAATTTGGTTGACAAACGTCAGTGATCGGCACTGCGCCGAAGCTATAGGGCTGACTTTGGTAAAATGATGAGACGTGAGGTGCCAAACTGCGGAAAATGGCGGAGGAAATACATGATTTAGCATGAATTATCATGAATAATATTAACTACTTATTTACCTATCAGTGTTTTGAGGCAACTTAAAAAATTACATTCTGTGTTTTTTTATTATTTAGGCAGTTTAATACTGCACAGTATTTAGTACACCATTTTCTTTATTTTCTTCCATCATACACAAGAATACGCGTGCGTGAGTCAATGTTCGCTCGTATGTGAGGCCTTGTCGAATAGTATCCTGTAGGGTGCCATCGTGTGTGTTTTGTTTTCGATGTAAACTCGCGGAGATGAACAGGCCTGTTAAAACTATTTATTACATCGACAGCTGATGCACGTGATGGGCGTGGAGCTCCGCTGGCAGACGCTATCCTGGTTCCTGTGGAGCGCGCTGGAGGCGCTGGCGGCGATGGCGGGCGCGGTGCTGGTGCTGTGCGCGGGCGGCGTGCTGGCGCGCACTGCGCCCGCGCTCGTGCTTGCGCTCGCCGCCGCCTTCGCCGCGGCCGTGCTGTGCTTCTGGTGAGCCGGGGGGATGGCATTCTCTAAATCTATATGTATAAAAATGAAACCCGTTTTCCGTTGTCACGACATAACATGAAAACGGCTTGACCGATATGGCTGATTTTTTTTTGTAGTTTTCTAATACTCTTTACAAGGTTTTTACGGAAAAAAATATAAAGAAAATCTCTACGCTAAGGCGGTACGAAGTTCGCCGGGTCAGCTAGTAAATAATAAATAACTAGCGGCCGCCCGCGACTTCGTACGCGTGGATCCCGTTTTACCCCCTTCCCGCTTTTCTGTTGAAATTTTTCCTGAATTTTCTTTGCTATAAACCTCACGGAGCCCGAGACCTTTCCAACGAATGCAAAACCGTGGAAATCGTCAGGGAGGAAAACCGGACTTATTTTTATATAGTAGATAACTTTATTGACATAATAACAAGTACAGTATAAAATTGCGAAACCCCTGACTCCTGTGCTAGGTGTATGTACCTGTGTTACAGGAGCCAGTGCCCACACTTAAGCTATATAAAGTTATTTATTGCAAATGGTAATTTTGAAAATCAATTTAACAAACATACAAAAAAAAATTTTGAAATAAACTTAACAAAAATACCAATAATAAATAAGCATGTGTGTGAGTGGTGTGTTTGTAGTGATTGTGTGTGTGTATGTGTGTGTGTGTTGTGCGATTCTCTGCCAGTCAACCACGGGTCATGCAGAGAGTGCCCGTTTTCACCATCAATCCCTAATTTCTAAGTGACCCCTATGGTAACACATAACAGGCGTTTTGTTTTCCTATGGGTTACTTAAATATTAGGGATTGATGGTGAAAACGGGCGTTAGACACTTATCGGGTATCACCGGTCCCCATTGGTGCCCGACGCCGGCACTCAGCCTCCCGACCGCTATCGGACCAGCAATGCGGTCTTCCCATATAGGCGGGGATTAGGAAATAACTGTAGAATACAGTCCATCTTTATTATTTATCTAAAATCTAGTATGAACTTTTACGTAGTAGGCACGAAACTGGCGACATCTGAGCGATTGCAGGGCAAGGTGACGGTGGAACGGCCTCGATGAGGAGTAGTGTTGCGATCGCCCCGCTCCGCCGCCGCCCGTTTTATGCACATCACCACAAACTGTCATGTTGTTGTATATGTTACGGTCAAAGTGATAAATGTGAAAATTATGAATAATCGCCGGTTATTATGAATAATTACCGCATGATTTGGTAAATGTGATTAATATGAGGTCATTTATGTGTGTATAAAACTAAATAGGCGGCTTAGGGGTGGCCCAAGGGCCACCCCCGCCGCACCTTAACCTATTTTTCACTTTAATTCAAAACATTATGTTATAGGCATCATGGAAAAGTAATATTATGCAAAAAACATTCCGAACTTATTATGCCAAATTATATTAATATGTGATATCAAAACGTTCAAAAGTTTGGCTGTACAGGAGTATGTACACAAGATGTTGTTCTCTTTTATTAAATTTGTTAGTACTAAGGTTGAATTATTAAATAATCACTGTTAAATGTGATTAATTTATCACTTTTACCGCGACTGTCGGTAATTATTCATAATAACCGGTTATTATTAATAATTTTCAATTTATCACATTAACCGTAACATATACATCGCCCCGCCATCGCTCGGCCGTCGCCAGTTTCGTACCAACAGACTTAGGCCCAGAATTGACGGTGAAACGCAACTGCAACGAAACTGCAACTTTCTGATAATTCTGATGAATGAAACTGAAAGTTTCAAACTGGTCGCGTCATGTGTGGTCTCACAACGGACGCTATGACAGAAACTTAGATGCAACTCAAAAGTAACTAGCAGTTGCAGTTTCATTATCAGAATCATCATCAGTCCGTTGAGAGATCACACATGACGCGACCAGTTTGAAACTTTCAGTTTCAGTTTCATCCATCAGAATCATCACAATGTTGCAGATTCGTTGCATTTGCGTTTCACCGTCTGTTCTGCTGGGCCTTACAGTCAGAGTTAAAATCTATTCGTCTGTGCACAGGTCACCCAGTACAACTGGATCATCATCAAAACACACATTTATACTTTGCATATCTCCGCAGCTACATGATGTCGAAGCTGTTTAGCTCGGCCAGCTCGGCGGCGGTGTGCGGCGCCGTCGCCTACCTCGTGACCTTCATGCCCTTCGTGCTCATCCTTTCGCTCGAAGCCGTCATCTCGCGCGCCGCCAAGATCCTCATCGTGAGTACACACTGACATAACATCATCGAATAAATACTTCTCTTTCTTTCTTTCTTGTATGTGATGCGACTTTGGTTTATTGACCACACTGCGTTAGGCCCGATTCGACCAAACTTTTATCCGAGAATAACTCCTGATAAAACTGGCACATTGACTGTTTCAGTATGGGAAATATGTCAAAACTGACGATTTATTCTGAGATTAATATTTACTCTTGTTTGGTCGAAACCACCTTTAGAATATAAATGAAATAGGTCTTGAAATATGCGAAAGAAAAATGCTACATTTTAATTCATTAAGATGAAAGAAACAAGTCTGCGCACGCGACTTTGTCAAAACATCAAAGATATTCCTTTTTTTTTACGCAATCCAAGGCAAGTATTTGACTGCAATTACACTTAATTTTTCTTGCCTTGAAGAGGACCAGAGCACGCATACAAATGCCAGATATTAGTTGGTCCTTTCGCAATCAATATAAATAAAGCATCATAATCACTGGTGCTAAGAAATTGCGAAAAAATATTTCATCTTTGATAGCATTTGGTTCATCAAAGTCCCTCACCACTAATAATGTCTTAATGTTGAATCGATACAGAATTTACTTGACAATGATCCACAAAGTGTTCAAGAAGCTCTAAGCAGTGAAAAGGCTAATGAATGGAAAAGTGCTATGGAAGAAGAATACCAATCATTGATCAAAAATGATACGTGGACACTAGCTGACTTACGTAAAGGAAAGTCAGTAATTCCTTGTCAATGGGTCTACTTTTAAAACATCTGCGTCCAGGAGAGGATGTTGGATTTATGGACGCATAAGAGAAACTCCTTACTAATATTGTCTATTCTCGTCCTTGTCGCGTTGACAGAATGTTCTCTTATATTTTACTATAAAATATAAAGTCTTCATATTAAGCTTTGTTTAATTTCATCAAAAATCTAATAAAAGGATTTTAAGGTGATTTTCAAACTTGTGAACTTATTACTAAAAATTTGGTAATGGTGGCACTTTATGATGAATGTTCCATGGGGCACACTGAAAACCAGCGTCGTGGCCTTCCTCGCCGTAGGCCACGGCATGCTGAGTGGGGTCCCATTGCGATGGGCCTCGCTGTGCGACAGGGTGGCACTGCTCAGTTAAGTTTCTCGTCCATGGTATGTTTTATGTGTTTATTTATTTCTTTCTTTCTTCCAGTGCCTGTCCATGTCGTCAGCGCTATCCTACGCGTTCCTACACGTAGCGCGGCTGGAGGCAGCGGGCACGGGCGCGCACTTCGAGGGGCTGTGGGACGTCACCGACGACGATGACGTCAGCATCGGGCTGGCCGCCGTCATGATAATCGTCGACGCGGTCATTTACTTCGTGATTGGCTACCTTATTGATCGGTTCTTTGGTGAGTAGCATTTTGATTATTATTTTGTTTAAGTCGATGTGTCATGTTAGTTGCGTTGTTCTTTTTGTTTAACAAAATATTGTTCCATTCAAAATATTGTTTATTAACAAGTTTTTTCTCAATTTAGGCGTATCAAATAGGCAGTGAACAGCAGCTCTAGACTTTTCGGGAAAATACATATTGGTCTCAATTTTGTAAAAAAAAACAGGTGTTCATATTACTTCATATGAAAAAGGTCGTCAGAAGGAAAGAAGATCATCACGGAAGAAAAGATCAAACAAGTGATCATATTCCTGAGTTAATAAATTGCTTCTTCCAGGCCTCAAGACTCTCCAAAGCAACATCACATACTGCACCACAACAGACGAAAAGGCTGGCGTTAGCATCATCAACGTCACCAAGTGGTACGGCTCGCGGCTGGCACTCGACAACGTGTCCATGGAGCTGCACAAGGGGCAGGTCACCACGCTGCTGGGGCACAACGGCGCCGGCAAGACCACGCTCATGTGAGTGGCTCTCCTGCTGGTCACCAGTGGCTCTCTCCTGCTGGTCACCAGTGGCTATCTCTAGGTTACTAGTGGCTCTCTGCTCTTGGTTACCAGTGGCTCTCCTCCTGGTTACCAGTGGCTCTCTCCTGCTAGTTACTAGAAGTTCTCTCCTACTGGTCGCCAGTGGCTCTGTGCTGCTGGTCACCAGTGGCTCTCACTTGCTGGTTTCCAGTGGCTATCTCCTGCTAGTTACTAGAGGTTCTCTCCCGCTGGTCACTAGTGGCTCTCACCTCATTGGCGGCGTCAGCATCGTCAATGTAACAAGTGGTGCGGCTCGCGGCTGGCACTCGACAACGTGTCCATGGAGCTACACAAGGGGCAGGTCACCACGCTGCTGGGGCACAACGGCGCCGGCAAGACCACGCTCATGTGAGTGGCTCTCCTGCTGGTCACCAGTGGCTCTCACTTGCTGGTCACCAGTGGCTATCTCTAGGTTACTAGTGGCTCTCTGCTCCTGGTTACCAGTGGCTCTCCTCTTGGTTACCAGTGGCTCTCTCCTGCTAGTTACTAGAAGTTCTCTCCTACTGGTCACCAGTGGCTCTCTTCTGCTGGTCACCAGTGGTTCTCTCCTGCTGGTCACCAGTGGCTCTCNTCGTTTTTCAAACGCAGTCCTCATTGTATGGCTATAAAAATTTATAATAAATTACCTAATAAGTTCAAAGATCTACCTTTGCTGTCTTTTAAAAGACAAATACACGCCTGGCTATTAACTAAGTGCTATTATTCAGTCAGGGAATATCTCGACGAACAATAGAATTTTAATCAGACTAACGAACAACAATTAATTTTTATTTATATAGATGACATATTTGATTTGATAATTTTTGTAAGGCATATTTTAATTGGCGACATTGATAAATACTATTAATTTAATTTTACATTGACATTTTTTTTAATCATTTGACATTTATATTATTGAATCCTATAATTTTTGCACGTCTGTGATCAGACTAAACACATGATCCTATTTTAATATTGTCACCCTGTATTACTGTTTTTAGCAAATAAACGTTTTGAATTTTTGAATTTTGAATTTATTGACCACACTGCTTTAGGCCCGATTCGACCAAACTTTTATCCGAGAATAACTCCTGATAAAACTGGCACATTGACAGTTTCAGTAGGGGAAATATGTCAAAACTGACGATTTATTCTGAGATTAATATTTACTCTTGTTTGGTCGAAACCACCTTTAGAATATAAATGAAATAGGTCTTGAAATATGCGAAAGAAAAATGCTACATTTTAATTCATTAAGATGAAAGAAACAAGTCTGCGCACGCGACTTTGTCAAAACATCAAAGATATTCCTTTTTTTTTTACGCAATACAAGGCAAGTATTTGACTGCAATTACACTTGATTTTTCTTGCCTTGAAGAGGACCAGCGCACGCATACAAATCCCAAATATTAGTTGGTCCTTCCATCATCAACTTAAAGCATCATATTCACTGGTGCTAAGAAATTTCGAAAAAAATTTTTCATCTTTGACAGTATTTGGGAAATCTAAGAAAATGTTTTTATGGTGATTTTCAAACTTGTGAAATTGTTACTAGAAACTTGAAATGGTGGCACACTGAAAACCAGCGTCGTGGCCTTCCTCGCCGTAGGCCACGGCATGCTGAGTGGGGTCCCATTGCGATGGGCCTCGCTGTGCGACAGGGTGGCACTGCTCAGTTTAGTTTCTCTTCCATTGTATGTTTTATGTGTTTATTTCTTTGTTTCTTTCTTCCAGTGCCTATCCATGTCGTCTGCGCTATCCTACGCGTTCCTGCACGTGGCGCGGCTGGAAGCAGCGGGCACGGGCGCGCACTTCGAGGGGCTGTGGGACGTCACCGACGACGATGACGTCAGCATCGGGCTGGCCGCCGTCATGATGATCGTCGACGCGGTCATTTACTTCGTGATTGGCTACCTTATTGATCGGTTCTTTGGTGAGTAGCATTTTATTTATTTATTTATTTAAGGACAGCTAACAAGACATACACAATTAACAGGAAAAAAAACATTGATTATTCTGTTGTCCTGCCTGTCTGTGAAATAACTTGTTTTATCTAAAGCCTGGTCCGTGAGCACGTAGAATTTTGTCCAATGACCCCAAACTACCCGTCCTTATCGCTCGCGCATAATTATGTTGCTGTCGCGCTCGCACACTCACTGCGGGCGCCCGTCGCACAGTCGCGACAGCAATATAATTACGCGCGAGCGATAAGAATGGGTAGCTTGAGGTCATTGGACAAAATTCTACGTGCTCACGGACTAGGCTTTAGTACTTAGTCTAATTTTCCACTCAAAGAAAAATCAATAATTGGTTGTTTGTGACTCTTTGGTTTCTTAGGACGTGTGTTGACGAGCTGGCCGATGCTGCTTACAGCATGTTCCGTCTGGTCTTACAACTGCTCCAACTGGAAGACGCAAGCGATTTAGCCCACTTTTAGCTCTTTCCAGGGGCCAAGTCGCTGGATTCATCATCATCTCAGCCATAGGACGTCCACTGCTGAACATAGGCCTCTTCCAATGCTTTCCATGTTGCGCGGTTGGTAGCGGCCTGCGTCTAGCGCCTTGACTGAGTCGCTGGATTGATTTTTTAAATATTTTTTCTTGACAACTGAGACGACAATGAGAAAAGGGTTTTAAAAATGGGTCAGTAGGTGACAAAACCGCTTCGGGAGAAATAAATAAAAAAGTTCAGATTTCATGTATCCATTCCAGGTCTCAAAACTCTCCAAAGCAACATCACATACTGCACCACAACAGACGAAAAAGCTGGCGTCAGCATTATCAACGTCACCAAGTGGTACGGCTCGCGGCTGGCACTCGACAACGTGTCCATGGAGCTACACAAGGGGCAGGTCACCACGCTGCTGGGGCACAACGGCGCCGGCAAGACCACGCTCATGTGAGTGGCTCTCCTGCTGGTCACCAGTGGCTCTCACTTGCTGGTCACCAGTGGCTATCTCTAGGTTACTAGTGGCTCTCTGCTCCTGGTTACCAGTGGCTCTCCTCTTGGTTACCAGTGGCTCTCTCCTGCTGGTCACCAGTGGCTCTCTCCTGCTGGTCACCAGTGGCTCTCTCCTGCTGGTCACCAGTGGCTCTCTCCTGCTAGTTACTAGAGGCTCTCTCCTGGTTACCAGTGGCTCTCTCCTGCTAGTTACTAGAGGCTCTCTCCTGGTTACCAGTGGCTCTCTCCTGCTAGTTACTAGAGGCTCTCTCCTGGTTACCAGTGGCTCTCTCTTGCTAGTTACTAGAGGCTCTCTCCTGGTTACCAGTGGCTCTCTCCTGCTAGTTACTAGACGCTCTCTCCTGGTTACCAGTGGCTCTCTCTTGCTAGTTACTAGAGGCTCTCTCCTGGTTACCAGTGGCTCTCTTCTCCTGGTTACCAGTTGCTCTCGCTTCTTGATTACCAGTAGCTTTCTCTTCCTGGTTATCTGGTAAATGATCAAATAATTTATGTTTGCCAAAAACTTATGACACTTCCCAGTTATGTTATTAGGGTTTTTTTATCTGTTCAATTAAATTTTAATGTGCTTCAAATTTCTTCTTGCTGCGTTGTACCGTGATAGTTTTCATTGGTAGCGCGTATTATATCTCTATCAGCTGCTTCTTCTCAGCATTGGCCCATTTATTGTCCCGAAGCAGTGATAGGGTTAATACTGGGACGTGTAAAAGTGCTTTTAAAAGCCTATTTGCAAAAATAAATGAGTTTTATTTATGTATACTTTTGCACATACAACTGTACAGTGGCGGACTTAATGCTTAATGTTTTATGAGTTTTTGTCTAACTTTTGCCCTCTTGCAGTAAGATCCTGACAGGCATGTTATCCCCTAACGCCGGGCACGTGGTGGTGCGCGCGGAGAGCGCGCGTGCAGTGCGCGTGGGCGCGTGCCCGCAGCGCGACGTGCTGTACGAGCAGCTCAGCGCGCGCGAGCACGTCGCGCTCTACGCGCAGCTTAAGAGTGGCAAGGCGTTGGAGGAGGTGCAGGATGAGGTGGAGAGGTGAGACTTTATATGCATACAGGGTGTTAGGTAAATGGGTATATGAGCCGACACTAGCTCATGTTAACATGGTCATATAAATGGTATGGTGAAGTCAGAAATTTGATATCATCATTTTATTTTTTTTTATCTTTGTATGCGTGTTTGTCTTGTTGGTTGTCCTAATAAATAAAATAAAAAATAAAAAAATTCATACAAAATAAATTTTACAAAATCCGAGTTGTATGAAAATTAAAATAATTGAAATGAAGATATCAATTTTCTGACTTCACCATACCATTTATATGACCATGTTAACATGGGCTAGTGTCGGCTCATATACCCATTTACCTAACACCCTGTATACACTTGTATTCTATGGTAAAGTTTTCTCTAAACATCCTTGTCGACCCAAACCTGCCTGACGTCTGCGGTGTTTACGGACGGACACGACCTGCAAGCTTTCAAGAGGAGAGCGTATCTTCACCTTAAAGGCCGGCAACGCACCTGTAACGCCCCTGTGTCTGCGGGTGTCTATGGGCGGCGGTAATCACTTACCATCAGGTGATCCGTCTGCTCGTTTGCCTCTTGTCACATAAAAAAAAAACAATATTTAAGGGAGAGTCCGCTAATTTGGACCAGTTTTTTTCAATCCCATTTTACACATAGTTTTCTTTTGTTTTTGCTAATGTCCATGGTATATAATAAAAGATACATTATTCAACTTACTATTTCATAAGTATTAATTAACATGATTGTTGTATATTTAACACAAATCAACAAAGTACGAGTTCAGAGCTTCGGTCCAATTTAGCCAACCGGTTCGATAATTTGTACCACAGGGTTACTAAATTGGATTTCAATAAATTTCAAGCCTTTAAAAAAACTATGGCAAAATATTATACGATACATTCTTAACAAATTAGGAAACGAAGAGAAACAGTAGTTAATAACATAGACAATCGATACTGTTTTACACGTTATCACGATTTTGAGTACAAGTTTTGTGATTCCAATTATCGTAACGCACACTTGTACCTAATCTACTTTGCCAGTCTTTTGCTTTCATTTATTGTTAGTCAAACATAACTACGCTATTATAACTTCAAAATATGATTTACCAAAAATAAATTAAAAATCCTTTGGTAAAGTTCCATACAACTTGATGTGGTACAATTTAGCCGACTAGGTGATAGTGCTTTTAAAAAATCAGTAAAAAATATAGCTTTTAAATACCGAAAAATGTTTCAAATAATTGTAATCCACGCTAATTTACGCTTCTAAATAATATATTAGAAACACCCTGTGATTAAATTTAACAAAATTACAATCTAAACATGTATTGTCAAAAGTTACTTGAAAACAATGAATAAATACTTTTCAAAATAAAACACACGTGTTTGTTGTCACGGCAAAAACCACATGGCCGATATTAATTGATTTTAGTTATGTATCGCTGAGTGTTGCAATTACAGACATTCAATAAATACTTTACGAAATATGAGGGTGGTACAATTTACCCGGCGGTACAATATACCGAACTCTCCCCTACTACTTCTAGTGTTTCCTTTCAGAGAACCTCTTCAGAATTAAAAGACAGGTCATAGTTTTCCACCATGGTGGAGAGGAGAGATTTGGTTTGAAGAACCAATCAGGAATCAAGTGGAGAGAAAACCTACCACCACCCATGGTTCTTCCTGCCTCACGGCGTACGAACCGAATCTCGGGAGAGCGCGCGGGTACTTGCTCTGGGCTCTTTTCCCCGGGCGCTTTGCTTGACTCCCTACAAATTTCTCTGATCCATGTCCCTTCTCATAGTCAATTCTCCCCCTTTTGGGACTTAACACCACAAATATGGTACTTCGCGTCGGGCTGCTATCAAGCGAGTGAAGAGAAAAGATGTGTCGGGTAGCCTTATTTTTGTGTAGAATTAGAACCGCGAGCAAGCCAGCGGCAGCTTTGTCGGGCAGACTTGGACTTGGCGGCCAAGATGCTCCTGCGTTCGCGCGCCCCTTTTCTTCTCCCCGCACTTCGAACACACGAAAGCGGCATTATGATTCGTGGACTTACAGTTGACACTTAGGCCCGGATTCCACTACAGCGGAGCGGAGCAGAAAAGTATTTTGAATATCCAAGCAAGATTCCTGAATAATGAAATCTGATTGGTTATTCAAAACACTTCTCTGCAGAAGGCAGAGCGGAGCCTTTGTGGAAACCGGGCCTCACACTCGCTCACATCTTCTCTCTTTCCGTTTTCTCTCCGCTCGTGTCTTTCCTCGTCTTCTCTTCGCTTCAGAATTAACCTGTTAGTTCTCCCCTTGTATCAACACAAGCTAAACTAAAGCCTGGTCCGTGAGCACGTAGAATCCCGTCCAATAACCCCAAGCTACCCATCCTTGTCGCTCGCACGTAATTATGTTGCTGTCGCGCTCGCACACTCACTGCGGGCGCGCGTCGCACAGTCGCGACAGCAATATAATTACGCGCGAGCGATAAGGATGGGTAGCTTGGGGTCATTGGACGGGATTCTACGTGCTCACGGACCAGGCTTTAAAAGGTAATTATTTTGCAGCATGCTCCGAGTATTGAACCTGGGCCCTGTGAGCGAGGAGCCAGCTTGCCGCTTGTCAGGCGGCACGCGGCGGCGCGTGTGCGTGGCGCTGGCCTTCGTGGGCCGGCCGCACCTCGTGTCGCTGGACGAGCCCACCGCCGGCGTCGACCCCTCGCACCGCCGGTCAGTATACATCACAACTGGGCCCGGGGAGCGACGAGCCAGCCTGGCGGGCCGATGTCAAAAGAACAGAACAGAGATGAGATTTAGGGTCTCGCAATAACGGAACACGTTGTTGCACTGCAAGCACCTTCTCCACCATCCAACCACTATACAATGACAATACATAATATGTATTTAAGAATCAGGTCAATCCAAGTTATTCCAATTTATGTATGCTAGTCATTTCTACTAGTATTTAAGTATCTTAATCTGTAAGTCTAGATATTAGCACGTCACTACCTTGTTTAATATACATTTTTTTATTCGCAAACGAAATGTCTGAACAACGGCGACAATTTTATTTCGATTCAAATTTATTCCTAACGCTCGATTTATTGTGGGCAAAAGGAGTGCGCTGCCCGCTCGTTGCCCGCTCCCGCGCCGCTGTTTTCGAGAACCGGTCTATTTGATTTTACGCATAAGATCCTGCCGCTCCCGCCCCGCTGCCCGCTAAACTCGAGGCTGAGGCCTGTTGATCTCTGAGTACTTTGACTTCTTCTCATCACCACATCGTTAAGTAATCCCTTTATAAATCCAACAGAGACATCTGGTCGATGATCGTGAAACTGAAGGAAGAGCGGACGGTTCTGCTCACCACGCACCACCTCGACGAGGCCGAGCTGCTCAGCGACCAGATCGTCATCATGCACAAGGTCGGTAATCATAAATATCTAACTGTTGTTCTAAAAGTTGCATTATTGCAAGCTTAGCACAAGGCAATAAAGTTAGAAAAATCTTGAAACTCCTAAAAGGCAGGTAACGCACCGACAACTTTTCTAGTCTTTCTTTCAATAGTGACGTTTCCATCTGCAAAAAAGGCGTTTCTTCGTATTTTTGTTCGCCATTAATTCGACACGATGTTAATATTATGTCATGCAGACAATTATTATAAAGAAAATCATATTTTAGTTAAGTACCTTGAAAATTTTTCAATTTCTCTAATATTACCATTGATTACTATACCAGTGGCAGGGTTAATACAGGGACGTGTAAAAGTGCTTTTTAAAAGCATTAAAATAAATAAGTTTTATGATTTTTTTATTACTTTTATGATACAAACAAATATCCAGGGTCAAGTCCACACCTCCGGCTCGCCCATCGAGATCAAGCGCTCGCTCGGCAACGGCTACAAGCTGTGCGTGTCGTACGCCGACACAACCGACGCCGACGCCGACATAATCGCCGACACCGACACCGACGCCGACGCCGACGCGTGCCTACACGAGCGCAGCAAACGGCTGCTGAGTGTAGTCCGGGAGGCCATAGCCAATGCTAACTTGCTGGAGATCAACGGACTTGATGTGGAGTTGTCGCTGCCCTTCTTTGATGCCAATGGACTGAATAACGAGTGAGTATTAAGTACGGACGTCGGCACATGAAGGGGCGTGCTATGTATGTGGATGTAATTATAACATAAGTACCAATTAAATTGCATGAAATTTTTTTGATTTTGAATTTAGTTGCTGTTTTTCCATAAATCTTAATCTTGTGTGTAGCTAAAGCCTGGTCTGTAAGCACGTAGAATTTTGTCCAGTGACCCCAAGCTACCCATCCTTATCGCTCCCGCGTAATTATGTTGTTGTTGCGCTCGCACACTCACTGCGGGCGCCCGTCGCACAGTCGCGACAGCAATATAATTACGCGCGAGTGATAAGGATGGGTAGCTTGGGGTCATTGGACAAAATTCTACGTGCTCACGGATCAGACTTTAGTCATAATCAACCTGCATGTAATGGATAAATTTTGATTGTCCTTTATGAGTCAAGTACACTATAAGCAATAGATTTGATCTTCCCGTGAGAAAACATGGTAAAAAGTCAGTCTTTGGCTCATGAATGTCTAACTTCAAATTGTTTTATAACCTGAAATATTGGTGTTTTGTTCCTTAGCTTCCTCAAACTATGCACATCACTGGAATCGAGCCAGGAGGCGCTGGGCTTCCGCGACTACTCGCTGGAGTGCAGCAGCCTGGAGCAGGTGTTCCACAACGTGTGCTCGCAGGCCGAGCTCACCAGCCACGCCATAGAGGACGGTGAGTCGTACGCATAAGGTTCATAATGTCCTGCTGTACTCGCTGGAGGACAGCAGCCTGGAGCAGGTGTTCCACAACGTGTGCTCGCAGGCCGAGCTCACCAGCCACGCCATAGAGGACGGTGAGTCGTACGCATAAGGTTCATAATGTNTCCACAACGTGTGCTCGCAGGCCGAGCTCACCAGCCACGCCATAGAGGACGGTGAGCCGCGCGCATAAGGTTCATAATGTCTTGCAGCTGCCTCTGCCTGTCCACGGCACTGGAAGCGAGCCAGGAGGCGCCCAGCGCTAATTTAATAACTTAACCAATGAGGGCTATCGTTTTTATACTTAACAGTTTTGTCACCCCTGGCGATTGATAAGACCTTACTCTACAGTGGCGCCATCTTGATGAGTGCAAATGCGATAGTCCTCCTACCACTTTAGCGCTCACCAGTTGGTGCCACTGTCTTCGCTACTAGCAAGTGACTGGACCTTACTCTACAGTGGCGCTAACTGGTGAGCGCTAAAACGATAGCCCTAATTGAGGGGAACTCAGGCCAACCTCACCTCGCGTGCCAAGTGCGAATTGGTGGAAAACTGGATTTAAGTGTATTTTTCTTGTGATTTGAATTTCTGCACATGTGCGGATCTGATCCACGTGCGTGTAAAATCACGCTGCTGGTTGCACCCAGTACAAAGATTTCGTATGAGGGAGATCTGCGTATATCGCAGTTGAAATTATACTCGTATAGGCAAACGTGACTTTTTTTTAATTGTTTATTTACTGTGTGTTCTCAGCGCCAGAGGAATCGGCATCAAAGAGTGCGTCTACTTCAAGCGTGCGCACGGAAGCGGCTCCGCTCGTGGGCGGCACGGGCCCGCTGACGGGCGGCGCGCTGCAGCACTGGCGCGCGCTGCTGCGAGCCAGATACCTGCACTACTCCCGGAACAGGTCAGTGACTACACCTGACGCTTGTGACGGCGTCACAGCGCGTCACATCGAGCGGGCCCGCTGACGGGCGGCGCGCTGCAGCACTGGCGCGCGCTGCTGCGAGCCAGATACCTGCACTACTCCCGGAACAGGTCAGTGACTACACCTGACGCTTGTGACGGCGTCACAGCGCGTCACATCGAGCGGGCCCGCTGACGGGCGGCGCGCTGCAGCACTGGCGCGCGCTGCTGCGAGCCAGATACCTGCACTACTCCCGGAACAGGTCAGTGACTACACCTGACGCTTGTGACGGCGTCACAGCGCGTCACATCGAGCGGGCCCGCTGACGGGCGGCGCGCTGCAGCACTGGCGCGCGCTGCTGCGAGCCAGATACCTGCACTACTCCCGGAACAGGTCAGTGACTACACCTGACGCTTGTGACGGCGTCACAGCGCGTCACATCGAGCGGGCCCGCTGACGGGCGGCGCGCTGCAGCACTGGCGCGCGCTGCTGCGAGCCAGATACCTGCACTACTCCCGGAACAGGTCAGTGACTACACCTGACGCTTGTGACGGCGTCACAGCGCGTCACATCGAGCGGGCCCGCTGACGGGCGGCGCGCTGCAGCACTGGCGCGCGCTGCTGCGAGCCAGATACCTGCACTACTCCCGGAACAGGTCAGTGACTACACCTGACGCTTGTGACGGCGTCACAGCGCGTCACATCGAGCGGGCCCGCTGACGGGCGGCGCGCTGCAGCACTGGCGCGCGCTGCTGCGAGCCAGATACCTGCACTACTCCCGGAACAGGTCAGTGACTACACCTGACGCTTGTGACGGCGTCACAGCGCGTCACATCGAGCGGGCCCGCTGACGGGCGGCGCGCTGCAGCACTGGCGCGCGCTGCTGCGAGCCAGATACCTGCACTACTCCCGGAACAGGTCAGTGACTACACCTGACGCTTGTGACGGCGTCACAGCGCGTCACATCGAGCGGGCCCGCTGACGGGCGGCGCGCTGCAGCACTGGCGCGCGCTGCTGCGAGCCAGATACCTGCACTACTCCCGGAACAGGTCAGTGACTACACCTGACGCTTGTGACGGCGTCACAGCGCGTCACATCGAGCGGGCCCGCTGACGGGCGGCGCGCTGCAGCACTGGCGCGCGCTGCTGCGAGCCAGATACCTGCACTACTCCCGGAATAGGTAAAAACATTGTAAAAATCAACCTTTTTCAACCTTAATTACAGGTAAAACTGGATGATTTACCGTTCTCCGATCGCGAGAGGCACTTATGCCCATAAGCATACGATTGCGCATGCATGACCCTCTGAGGACGTGCTGCGCGCGACCAGAGTACTTCTTTAGGTTCAGCCGAACCAACGCGTGCAGCCTGCGTGTGCGATGGCTATCAATGCGTTTACATCTGATCGCCATAGCCATTGTGCACGCGGGTGCACGCGTTGGTTTGGCCTTCTCTATTCAGTTTCAGTAAACTTCAATATGTGGCAATTCCAATGAACTGATTGTTACTGTAAAATGAAATAGTAGAGCTCAGTCGATTTTCATCATACCTTACTTATTCATAACTAGCTTTCCGCCCGCGGCTTCGCACGCGTGAAATTTCGTTTGTCACAGATCGTCATAAATTATAGCCTATATGTTATACTGGATTATGAACAATAATACTGTAAAGTTTCATCAAAATCCGTTCAGTGGTTTTTGAGCCTATTCATTACAAACATACAAAAATAGGTACAAATCTTTCCTCTTTATAATATTAGTATAGATGTAATTGAAATGAACGTTACTTTTCTTCGGGCATAAAGTTGTCTTCGTCTTGAGCATGTGTGCTCTATACGAAAATTTCTAAATAACTTGGCTGCTCTTTGGAGTTCCTTAGAATCCTTCGTTACCTGCTTTACCCCCTTACTCCATCTACGACGTATTACCTGACCGCAGGTGGCTACTGTTCGTGCTGCTGGTTCTCCCGTCGCTGTTCGTGGGTATCGCGATGGCGTTCTCCACCATCCGGCCGCCTGCTGACAACGAGATCGCTCTGCGGCTCTACCCCGGCCTCTATGCTAACACCACGCAGTTTATCGTGTGAGTATCACCACAGAATAATAATAAGTACTACGTACAGAAGTTTTACTTCGCGAAGGTATTTTAAAAAATGTATGCTCAATGTCATAAACAATATGGTGTAATTTAGCTTGTCTCAAGAGTCGAACACCATTTTGTTGACAAACGTCAGTGATCGGTACTGCGCCGAAGACATAGGGCTGACTTCGGTAAAATGATGTGTGACGTGAGGTGCCAAACTGCGAAAAATGGCGGAGGAAATACATGAATAAGCATGAATTATATTTTGTGTTTCTAATATTATTCAGGCAGTTAAAAAATACTGTAGAGTATTAATTGCACCACCGTTTTTACATATGGTTTATTGTCTTTACAATGCAAATGGGTGAAGAATACGTGCGTGCGTCAATACTCTCTCGTGATTGTCCTGTCGATTTGGTATCTCAGGAGGGGTAGTCGCGCGTGTTTTGTTTTCGATGCAAACTCGTGGAGATGAACAGGCCTGGTAGCAGTTCATAATGTACACCTGCTACAAGTCTAGCGCATGACTGAGGCATGGGAGTGGCACGGGAGGGGTGACATATGACGATGGAGCATACAAGTCTGAAGCACATCTGAAGTCTCGCTGACGTTTGATGACACAAAAACACCTTTTCGTCCCGCTCTCATATCTCAGGCAGCAACTCACTAGACCTATAGTGTTCTTGTATATATTTTTTGCAACCTCGTTCTTATTGCAGAAAGATAACTCAATGTTTTCTTCTCTACCTACACGAAAAATAAATCAGTGTGACAAAAGAACTACCCCCAATAAAACACTACACTAATGTTACTAATAATGTGCAAACTTATCGACCCCTGGGGATTCATAGTACTTATGTTTTTGTCACTAATTAGTAAATTTAAGACTAGGCGCAGACAATCGATTTTTAGTTGGCCGATAGTTCAGTCGGGCAGTTGATCAGTATGGACATAAAATAAATGATAAAGAAAATGATTTTGATTTCAGGCCAGATCCGTCAAGCTATTCCGAGAACGTGGACCCAACGTTTGCACAACATGTCCTGGATTACTTAATGATGGGTGATGGTGCCCGAAACTGGACTCAAGCGGTAAGAATAAATTACAACAAACACCCAGTTAAGATTTACCTTTACAGATCAACTTATTTATAAGTTTTGACATGTATGACCTTTCAACTCGAAGCTCACAAAACTTAACATTGCCGTGTTGTGAGGTTCGTATTAATTTATGTGCCTTTCATCAGGACACACCGACTTGCCAGTGCAGCGACAGCATACAGCAGTGCAACGCAAGCAATGCTATCGACAAGCCGAGTATGATGGTATTGCCAGACGTAAATACTCTCAACGAGTGGCTCGTCAACTCGCAGAAGGACTACATTGAAAAAAGGTATATTGAAGAAACGTACCTTGGCTTTCTTGGGGGCACTTACACACTTAATTCTTACTGCAGTTTTCAAGTTGTAGATTCTGTCTACACAGGAGTTGCAGCGGTGGAAATGAGAGATGGGAATAGTCCCGTTTTACACCAGTTTTGCTTTTATTAGCAGCAAAGTTGTACACCGTGTATTTTTCTACACCTCCCGTCCCAATAAGATGGAAGACAAGTTTGCTGATGCAATCACCGTAATAGAACCACGTCCCTTTTTTTCTGTAAGACAAGGCTGGTATTTGACCGCAATCGCACCTGGTGTTACGTGAGATGTAGTCTAAGATGGTACATATCTGCCCTGTAAGTGCTTATTCACTCTCGCCTTGAAAAGGCCTGGATTATAGTGTTCAGGAAAACATCCTGCGTGGGATTCGCCTGTCTAACTAAATCTTTCAGTGTAAATTAATTTCAATCTTAATGTCTCTAGATATACGGGCTTCACGGCATCCCTGGCCAACAACAAGACGAACCTAATCGCGTGGTACAACAACAAAGGGCACCACGCGCTGCCCGCCGCCCTATCCGCCCTACACTCGGCCGCCCTACGCGCCGCCCTACGCGCGCCAGCCGCCATCACCGCCTACTCGCATCCCATGAAGATCTCGCCCGAGCAACTATATTATTCATGATAATTCATGCTAAATCATGTATTTCCTCCGCCATTTTCCGCAGTTTGGCACCTCACGTCACATCATTTTACCGAAGTTAGCCCTATAGCTTCGGCGCAGTGCCGATCACTGACGTTTGTCAACAAAATGGTGCTTGACTCTTGAGACAAGCTAAATTACACCATATTGTTAATGACATTGAGCATACATTTTTTTAAATACCTTCGCGAAGTAAAACTTCTGTACGTAGTACTTATTATTATTCTGTGGTAGTAGTTTATCTACAACGTGCTCCTTTTGTTTTCCGGAAATTTTAGGGGTTTATTTTATAAATAAAAACTATTTAAAGAGTCTTAGGAATATGTGTTTCTAGAAGCATATTTTTGAAGATATTGTGGATTCTAGATTTAGAAGATACCTAGTTGATTTAGATTATATATCATCCATTCAGTTTTTTTTTAAATTGTCACCTAGTCTTTTTGAGCAGATTTTTTATTGATAAGTGTATGCAAATTGTGAATTATTTCAGTGAAAAATTAAGTTTTTAAATAATTTCGTATGAAAAAATAAGTCGAAAAAAATTGTTGAATTTAACAAAAAATGTAATGCCATTCCATTCTTTGAAGTGGTCTTATTAATACCCTAGAGTTCCAGGAAATCAAAAAGAGCACGTTGTATAACGTTGCAGAATCATTTCTTTTTTTATTTATTTACTTATTTTATAA